ATTTGTCTATTTCTAGTCATGTGTGTCGAAATAACCAATGAAACCATCATTACACTGATAACTACCCATGGATAGTTTTCACGGGTAGTTATCACTTATGTCATGACATTGCTAAGCAACCAACACAATAAAGTTGTTTGACATTTCAGTAATTCAATTTATTTCGAAAATGTCACTTCCTCGCTTTGGTGTTCAAAATGATGCGGCAATTGACAAAATCATTGAAGAAAATACACCAAAAAATACTGTCAATAGTAAAAAATACACTTGGAAAATATTTATGGAGTATATCATTATACGAATTGTTCTTTTAATAACTGTGTGTTCAATATATATATATATTTCAAGCTTGTACAACCCTGAATATGTAGAGTAGGGATTCCCAAACTTTTTTAGACACTACCCCTTTTTAGCTCCAACAAATAAGACAAAACAAAAATATCAAAAAGCGCTTAATTCCCAAACAAAAATTAGTGAGAAGGATGCGCTTGTTTCTGTTTGCACAGATGTACAATGTTGGGTTCTAGATTGGTTATATTCAATCTTAAGTTATCTCCAACATTTAATTTATTTCTGTAATCATTTTTAAGATAAGTTAAACTTAAGAACCCTTTCTCATATAAATACATGCTGCAAAACCCAACAAGAAATTCAATAGCAGTGTGAGACAGTTCTTTGTACTCCCTCCCAACACAGATCCAAAAATCTAACAATGCAGTACCAGAATATTTCTTTTTCAACGTGGGATCATACGAGATGTCAATAGAATAGAATATTTATTTAACTATGTTATATACAAAAGTACATTTACAGCAAGTCAGATTAAAAATACATAATAATTAAGATGTTGCATATATTCTTAAACTCAACCACTGAATAGAAGCAGTGCTGCAAAAGAAATCTTTTTATCATTTTTTGAAAGGAAATTATATTGAGTGACTTGATATCAGATGGTAATATATTATACACATGATAGTCTGGTGAGTTTCTTTGGGAGACTGTAAGCCTGTACCTGGGAGTTCTGATATAATCTGATCGTCTTGTATCATAGGAATTTACTTGAGATTGTGTTACCAAATTTCTATTTTGTCTATGTATTTCTATAAGAGTCTCATATATGTATGAGAAAGGTAGCGATAAAATTTTGAGGCGAACAAATAAAGGACGACAATGTTCTCTGCTATTATAATTTAAAATTATTCTCAGGGCCTTTTTTTGTAGTCGAAAGATTTGCAGTGACTTTGAGGAGTTACCGCACATTATGATACCGTAACTCATATGAGCATGAAAAAGTGCAAAGTAGTACTTTTCAGTGTATCATGATTAACATATCTCTTCAATTGCCGAAGTAAAAATAGAGTACTAGAAAGTTTATGTCTAAGTTGTTCAATATGACAATTCCAGCCAAGTCTTTTGTCAATAGTTATTCCCAATAATTTAACGTTATTGTCCTGCATGAGCGAATTATTTGTAGAAAATGTGATATTCTGGGTTTCACTATTATTAAGTTGTAGCTTATTAGCCTGAAACCAATATTTGGCTTTTTCTTGTAACGCCAGTTGCTGATAGTTATAGTGAGAGGTAATCAGGGTAGTATCATCAGCAAACAAAGTACACTTTTCCGGCAACAGAAATTGGCGCAAATCAATAATGTAAATGATAAACAGTAACGGTCCAAGGACCGAACCCTGTGGGTCACCATGTATGTTAGTTTTCAACTCTGACCTCTCATTGCTGCTCCTTTCAAATAGTCATTATTGTTTAAACCCGATTGAGCAACCACGAAATTAACAGGCAACACTGACTACTGCGAAAACACTGCTTTGGTGGTGTTTACTAGGTAGGAAGGAATTTCCTTTTGACGTTCCATCCCCCCACCTTTTCGCCCTTAATTCTCAATGTGTACCTGCTCTTTCCTTCACTTTTCACACTATTGAGACTTAAACTCTGCGCTCCCGTATCCCGCTCATATTATAATCAAAAATAATTGTTCTTCTGGTTTTCGTATTCATTTCATTTTATTAATTTATTTTATTTTAACTTAGTCATCATCAAAATGGAAAACAAAAATTTGAGCAAAAACGAAAGGGATGTAATAAAACATACGGTTTGTTGGCCAGCCGCGTACCCCCTAAAATTTTCGCGTACCCCCATGTTTGGGAACCAATGAGTAGAGAATACATTTTCATTCGTGCATTATCGACACACCCTATAGAAACGTGAACAGATATTTCAAAGTAATCGTACGATATAATTACAGAATAAATTCATGCAAATATTGTATTTATCATTCAATATTACTATAGTGTTCATTATTATCACTAACAGAACTATAATAAAACCACCACGCAGTACTTTCAAAAGCGCTCTTTCGTTGCTTATAATAGAACGTTTTAATAGCCTCGAGTAACATTTAAATGATTTCATATCTCTTTAATGCTTTCAACGAAATAAAAATGATCCCTGCAATTTATTAAAATATGTATGTTATGGTAAATGGCAATCAAATTAAAAATTCCTGTTCGAGTTCAAAACAAAATTTTTTGTTGTGGTGTTGATTTCAACTGGAAAATTAATTTTAGGTTGAGAAACATGTGGTTCACAAATGTATCAAAAATACCTTACGGTTCTGGTGCAGATGTTTTCAGTCGCAGACCCAGGACAGAGATATCAACCTGCCTAGAAACCTATGCGACTATATTTCAAGCGGAAATTTACGCTATTGAATTGTGTGCAAAGAGATTGGAAGAATTCGGTCTCATACACAAGCCAATAGAAATATTCTCGGACAATCAAGCGGCGTTGAAAGCTCTTGGCTCTTACCGAGCAATGTCTAAATCGGTATCAAATTGCAAAAAACGACTCTTCTTGTTGGGAAGACTCAACATATTGTCTATGGTCTGGATTCCGGGCCATACTGGCCAGGCTTAACAACAAATCGAAAACAGAACGAGAACACAACATACAGTTCCACAGAACTGGTTACAACAAGTACAAGAAATCCACCACAGATGACCCAAATACAGATATCCACGCAAAAGATATAAAAGTATGAAGGGGCATCTTCCAGGGAGATGCACAAAGCACACTTTGGTTTTGCCTCTGCCTAAATCCCATATCAAAACGGCTTAACAACAAATCGAAAACAGAACGAGAACACAACATCCTATTAACCACCTCATGTACTCGTATATAGATGACATCAAGCTATACGAAGCAACACCTACGCAAACGAAAAATCTCATCAAAACAACAGAAAACGCTAGCCACGACATAACAATGTAATTGGGAATAGAAAAGTACAAAAATCTCCGAATAAAAAAAGGAAAATTAATAGAAACTGAATAATACAAAAAATAAACCACGAATATATGAACACTATGCAAGAACACGAAACTTACGAGTACCTCGGCTTTCAACAAAACAGTAAACTAGACCATACAAAAATATAAACATAACTAATTCCAAAATATAACATACTAAAAACAAAACCAAACTCTAGAAACATTATGAAATAATATATTTACACATATGCAATACCTCTGCTCAATTACTTTTTTGGAATGATAAAATGGATCAACACCGACACAAAACACATTAACAGACTAAACCGAACCATGCTCACCAAACACATAATGCAGTATCATATCTCAGCAATAGAAAGAACAACACTACCAAGAAAAATAGGAGGCAGAGCCCCAATAGATATAACAGAATTACATGCAAAAAGTACACAGCCTTAGAACATACTTCTATAGCTGTAGCTCGCCACACCATGCAATAATGGAAGCAGATCTAACATCCTAATCTAAATGAAACACAAAGAAATTAATATATTCAAACAGACAAACTAACACAATGGGCACACATCGACAAACAACTCACATACAAATGGTTAACTCAAGGACAACTTTACCCGAGACAGACGGATTCGCACTAGCTATACAAGAACAAATCATTGCCACCACTACAAAAATACACAATCGAAGACTCAACCGTCACATCAGACAATTGTAGGAAATTTCACCAAAGCACAGAAACGAAACAATAGAGCATATAACAAACGGATTTAAACTTTCCGCCAGAACAGACTACACAAAGACGTTCTATGGCAGCAAAAATTATACACCAGGACAGCAGACGCAGACGCAAACAGAAAAACAATAAAAAGTAGAAAAATACAAACCCCCAGCTATAGAGCTGAAAGATATATGCAGACAAGAATGTGTAGCAATAACACCAATTGTCTACAGGAATTACACCGCAATCGTTTACTATCAACCTACGAAAAATAAACATCCGTACATTCACACACTCACACATGTACAAAAAGCAGTAATAATCAAAACTTGAAACACGATTTTCAGAACCCCTACCATCAAAAACCCCTAACATTTCATGACTCCACTTGGATTCATTTTGTAGCAAATACCAATGAGGACATTCCTCTGTGAAAAAATAATGGTAATGATAATGTTTCAACTAGCAAGTTTCAACTAGCAATATTCGCACCTCGTATAAACCTCATCAGTTACGATATCGCCTCTGCGCAAATGAAAAATAATAAGTCCTTGCTGGAATGATACCCTCCCCACTTTCGACTTGCCGCACTAAGGCACAAATCTTAGCCGGACAAATGCAGAAGACTGCTCCTCTTGGCTCACTGCGTCTGCTGCCTGCTTAGGACATTCGATTCTTAGACCCAATGATCACATATGGTTTGGGGAGTGGTTGTTGGTTTTTAATGGTGGCGCGACCTCCCGAATATGCAACCAACAGTAACAACCATTTACACAGTAATTTCAGATGAGCATCAACAGTATATTATTCAACGAGCGAGAAATACGGCCATTACTCGTGAGAATGAAGTTTGTCGACGCGAGCCGAAGGTGAACTTCGTAAATCGATAGGCTCGAATATATTGATATACGATACCAACTCGCAGAAATCAATTTCATTATCCATTCACCAATTTAACTTCATCAACAATATAGATAATTTCCTAATGCCGCCTACTTAATTGGTTAAACATTCGTCAACAGGAGTGTTACAGTTTTGGTATGCGTGAAAAGTGTTCATGTTGTATTTATTTTCAGGTTATAGACAAATAGATAGTTACTATTCTGATCATTCCCATATTGATTTCAATTTAAGAGCCACCGGTAGACAGCTGCTTTAGCCTACTGAGCATCGTCAGTACCAGGAAGGAGGTCCTGGATTGAAGACAAAATGTGAATAACCAATGAAAGTATTTGATAAAAATAACTTCTTAAACGCAAGCGAGTCATAAGCGGAACAACCTATTGGTGTGACACCCAAATCAACTTGCCAAGTTTTTATGTCAATGTTGGTGGTTTGACCAATTAACCGCGATAGCAGAAATTTGGGAAGCTACCCTGAAATACCATCGGAAAACGAATCCACATGTTTTAAGAAATAATATGAAATCGAGAAAAGTTAATGCAGTCAAGCTGCTGGAAAATAATTCTATGAAACTCACCGGTAGACAGCTGTTTCAGCCTATTGGGCATCGTCAGTACCGGGCAGACGGTCCTCGATTGAAGACAAAATTAGAAAAACCAAGAAAGTACTTGAAAATAACTGCGTAAACGCAAGCGAGACATAAGTGGAACCACCTATTGGTGTGACACCCAAGTCAACTTGCCAAGTTTTATGTCAGTGTTGGTGGATTGACCTATCAACCGACAACTGCGGTGCATTTCTAGAAATGATATGAAATCGAGAGAGGTTAATGCAGTCAAGCTGCTAGAAAATAATTCCATGAAAATAAAATTGAAGGATTTAGCCGTTACTACGTGGTAGGAAATCATAATGAAGAAAATGCCAATTTTTTTGTTTGTTTACATGTTTTAGTCCATAAGGTTCATAGTCCATCAAATTTCCTTTTGAAATTTCAAGCTCCATATCAACGCCGCATCGTTTTTTTGTATAATAGTGATGATCATGACACATGTCAAAAATACATTTAGTGTAAATAATTTTTGCGCAAAAATGGTAGTATTTTTTGATTTTCATGAAATTATTTTCCAGCAGCTTGACTGCATTAACCTTTCTAGATTTCATATAATTTCTAGAAACATGTGGATTCGTTTTCCGATGGCATTTCAGGTTAGCTTCCCAAATTTCTGCTACCGCAGTTGTCGGTCAAACCACCAACATTGACATAAAAACTTGGCAAGTTGACACACCAATAGGTGTTCCCCTTATGTTTCGCTTGCGTTTACGCTGTCATTTTTATCAAGTTCTTTTATTGATTATTCACATTTTGTCTTAAGTCGAGGAGGGCCTGCCCGGTACTGACGATGCTCAGTAGGATAGTATGTGACCTTGAGAAAATAAAGAGTAGAAAGGCTCTTTTAGGAAGAAACTCACCTTGCACTTGATTTTAACAAAATTAGCTCCCTGTAAGTGCTTCTTAAAAATACCTTCGAGAGCTAATGTGAACTCACTCTATATCCCGACGAAAATTGACAAATATACCTTTTCAATTTCGGACTTGGCAGTATTTCAATTCTTCCGAGGTAAATATGTTTGCATTTCGTTAAATGCAAAAATTATAAGACAGGATAAAATCAGTTGTTGTTAATCTAAGATCTCCCGGGAATTACCAGAAAGGGACAAACAATATATGTCTAGTTAGGTGAAATTAATTTTCCTTCACTTAGTCTCGAACAAGTACATTCAACAATGGCGATTTCAAGTCTAGTGATAATTTGCTGTGGTAGTGAGTATGATGTTGAAAAGTTGTCATAGTTCGTTAAGAAGCTGAGTTTATTTGGTGGAGTGTGAATAGGTGTGAGCTACAATAAACCCTTGCGGGTTACGGTGGAGGGTCGAATAGACCAAACCTAACCTAACCTATCATGAAACAGGCAGAAAAATAACAACGAAACTTATATACTTGCAATACTGACATCAGGATTTCCATTCAGTTATAGTGTGTTAGTGAATATATTGCTCGTTAGACTATATAATGTAAGAAAGTTTCTATTTATGATTTCAATGATATAATATAGAGTGTGAAAACAAGTACTTCATGGAACATAGAACGGGGACCTCTGGCATAGAAGAGGTAAAGTGGAGTTGTCTACTTAATCTCCTGAAGACGCAAAATTGGTTGGTAAAACGTTAAAAACGCGCTCATCAAATCTGTGATTGTTTAGTATCATATTGTAGATAGTATTTTAGGAAATAAATTTGTCTGGTGAGGATCAAAAACTTTACATATAGAAAATCTGTTCAAAATCTGTTTTTCCGTTAATCAGCTGTCGCCTCCATACGAATGATAACTGTCAGAAGTTGAGAAACTTGTGCGAGCTAAGGACTAACGAGGACACTCTCATCCCCATGTTGATACAAGATAATGAGCATCATACTGTCCATCTTGACCATCATAGAGGGAAAATATTCATTGCGGATTTTTTCACTTTCGGGAGAGATGATTAACGATAGATAGAAAATACTCAGTTGGAGAACATGTTTGAAACTAGGTACATTTGAAGCAGCATGACCTAAAATGCAAAAATATAAATCCTAAAAATTGAATAAAAGTGATTTGACATGACTACATCGTCAATTCGTAGTTATTATTCAGAATTAGTGTTTTGTAGCACATTGGTGCACTAAACGTCACAAAACAAATGTTTATTATGAGACGAGTTCAAAAACGGCTAAAATGACTCAAAAAATTTTTCACAAATTCTTCAATACCCCAATATTTCCAATCGATCTAGTAAGACAGAGTAGTCGAATTACTGCTCGAGATAATTTCCAGATATGATATAAAAATATCAATATTAATCAATTTTTCAATTCTCTAATTTGCATTACCGAAAATCCATACATGCTGTTGCAAATGCATCTGTCATAAAAACAAATTCGTTTTTATCTTTTTGGGATTTTCCGGGAAGTTTGACAAGAAACTGCACTCAGTTGATGTTATATTAGGATACATTGAAGTCACCGACAATTTTCAGTGTGTTAAAAATCTACCAATGGAAAATTTCCCAGAAATATTTCGAATTACGGGCCACAAATGGCTAGAGAAATATATCCAAGAAAGATTACCTGCCACAATATCCACCGAGATAGTAAACAGCTTAACAGATTGTCTCTGGTCTGGATTCCTGGCCATACTGGCCTGGAAGGCAATGAGGCTGCTGACTCCCTTGCAAACATTGAACACCTGGATGGCAAGCTTCGAAGCTTGATACCAAACAGTTATTGGACTACAGTAGGGATGAACTACGATATCTAACAGGCCTTCTTACAGGTCACTGTCATTTGAATCATCATAAGCATACTCGGACTGTCGGAACCCAGTGTGTGTCGACTCTGTTTGAAAAATGATGAAACAGCAGAGCACATACTTTGTGCCTGCCCCGCTGGGGACTGAACCAACTCTTCAGAGTTCGGCAGAGACTTACTCTTACCATCTGACCTGAAAGACCACTCACCATACAAAATAATCGGCTTCGTTAAGAACCTGGGTTTATTTGGTCGAGTGTAAATAAGGGTGAGTCACAATAAACCTTTGCTAGTTGCGGTGGAGGGTCGAATAGACCCACTCACTTTAGACCTAACCTAGTAAAAAGATTCAGTGATCAATTACTTTAGAGCTGAGACTATCCTTTTTTACTATTAGTAAATCTATATCTTTTAAGAAAGGAAAAACACCCTGCAGACTCTATTCAGTTCCCTCTATCAGAATGGTTGCACTGATTATTGAAGTCCTTGCTATGATGCCTACTTTACTGTCATAATAAATTGATTTATAGAAGTAAATCTGTATTGATAATATATTACGGTAATTCAAAACGCTTCACTATCCGTTCCGTCTATATCAGAAAATGTCTGATATTTTCAGATGATTTTTTTATTCCCATCATAATATTTGAAATAGTATATGAAAATGAGTAAAGAATTGTTATGGTTAACGGTTTCATTGAAGAAAAAGAGATAATATTATTGTAAGTAATGTACTCAAAGCTGAAAAATAATTCGGAAGATCCTAGGCAGCAGTCATCACATCACTCTCCTCAGCAATCCACGGTATTGATCATAACAAGAAATAATAAACTCGTTGATCATAATATTTACATATTTACTAATGTTACGCTACGCCCATCGATTTCATTTTTTTATTATCATTACTGTAGATTGTTGAGGAGAGTGGTGTGATGACTGCTACCTAGGACCTTCCGAATTATTTTTTAGCTTTTAGTACATTATCTACATCATTATTATTAATTTTTTTCAATAAAACCGTTTACTTTACATACATTTTTTTCACTTATTTCAATTTTGAATTTTTAGTTTATAATTTTGTCTCTCAATTCTTTTCAGTCTGTTCAGTTAATTTAGTGCCTCAGTATTACAAGGTTTATTTCCCGGCAATTTGTTGCAATCTTAATTCCTCAATACATAAAACTTTCGAGGACTTTACACGACTTAGGGCCACGTATGCTTGTTCTTCTTCAAAAAATGTCAAGCCCAAATGCACAACTGCGTGGTCTATAGTGCTTCCTTGCATTTTATGGACAGTGCCCATGACAAAATATTAAGGGTAACATCCTTCTTTCAGCCGTCCCACAATTGAACTTTGCTTTAGGGTGTATAAGATGTACGCCATCTCTTTCAAAGTTGATGTTATCAAACAAAAAGAGTTTTATTTTCCCAAAAAAGCAAACCACGAAATAAAAACCGTATACAAATAAGTAACACTTCATTTGTGAAATTTTCACTGAACCGACCAGTGAAAATCTCACAATATAGTGTTACTTGAATACGTTATGGATTTTCATCAAGTATCAGCCAATTCCATAACATAAAAACCATATACTCAATCCACATCTGCAAAACTTTCGATAATTGTTTTCTCAAGTTAGTTAAAGTTGATTAAACCTCTTCTTTACAGGAATCTATGGGGATACTAATCAGAGGTTCCCGAACAGAAGTAGAGTACTTCAAAACAACTCAAATGGAAGAGACATAATATCGACAATAAATAATTCAGAGGAGAACCAACCATGGATGTGTTCCACAATAAATGATCAAGAAACCCTGCTCGAGTCAGACTGTACGAACGATAACGAACGGAGTCTATTGCTCCAAATGAAGAGAGAAAACACCGTTAAAGACCTTACCCAAAAGCTTGCTAATCAGACCATCCTCCACAGTCCTTCAGAAGAAAACAAAATGAACAGAATTGGTGACATGTCGGGACTAATATCGAAAGCGAAAGAAGGTCTGGCTAAATCGAAAACGAAAGCTGAGTTACTCAAGCAACCAAATAATGAACATGTTCCAAAAGTGGAAACGAAAAAGTCTGAAAATGAATTGAGGTGGGAAGAACTCACCGGAAATTTAAACCGATCTCTATGTTTATGTGATATGGACTTCACTGATTTGGCTAGTGAAGACGAAGTAGATATTTTGGCACCAATCAGGGTTGGTAATGGGATACCTCCACCTCCTCCTCTGATGGACGATATGGGAAGTGCTCCTCCTCCCCCTCCTTTAGTGAACAGGATAGCTCCACCAATTCCTGCGGTTATAGGCCCCAATTTCCAGAGATTGAACAGGTCGCCAGAAACAAAAACTCCCATAAAGAAAAATAAGAAAACGGTGAAGTTGTTTTGGAAAGAAGTTCGAGATGAATCTGTGAGTCATGTGAAGCTGAAAAGCGGTTTTATTTGGGATGAGTTATATCCAGTTAGTGTGGATACCCAAAAGTTGGAACACTTGTTCGAAACTAGGGCCAGAGATCTAATTACAAAGGTGAGTTATCTTGTCTCTGTTTCTTATTTACCCTTCCATTTGATTTCGTTCTACAATGGGTTTCCGAAAAAATTACCAATACATCCTAACGTGTGCCTTATTGTCCAAGGTTATTGGTAGTTGACGAACCGGGTGGTTCAATTGCAACAACAGCCATAGAAAAAGCAAATATTCTAGCTGAATAATTTGCATCCCACTCTACAGTCGATTTCCTGGGAAGACACCACCCACTATTTCCACACTAGGCAAATTTTGAAAAAGCTCATCAACAAGGCGTTTGAACCTGATGAAGTGTCCGTCATCGTATTTAAAATGGGCGCCAAAGAACTCCTACCAGTATTTTACAGAGTTTTCAACCTTACTCTCTTACAAGAGAGGAGTTTTTCCTTCTTGTTGGAAGATTGCCGCGTTCAGCCCATTCCCATAAAGGGCAAGAAGAAGCTTCCAAATAAGTATAGTCCAAATAGTATAGACGCTTTGCTATCAATGGTATCAAAAATCATAGAAAAAGACGTAAACCACCACATCCTTAAATATTTGGAAGGCTTTAGCATCTTGAGGGATCATCAATATGGCTTCCTTAACAAGCGGGCGACCTTCTATCGTATGACACCCATATTCGGAATAACACAATCCGAGAAACAAGAGCTTGATATTTCCAAGGCCTTTGACTGTGTGTGGCATGAGGCTATGCTGGCCAAACTTCGATGCTATGGCTTGTAGGGTCATTTTTGTGTATGGCTCCTCAGCTTCCTGACAGAACGTTTCCTGCAAGTGGCCGTCGATGGATATGTCTCGAATACCATCAACGCTGGTGTTTTCCAGGTAGCCATATTGTCTCCAACCCTCTTTTTATTGTACATAAGCGACTTTGTACATTGGAGATTTGAATATCGCAAAAAATAATTGCATATTTGATAACAATATTGAAATGGCTGGAACAGCAGATAGATAAAATTAAAAAATATGTTACATTCTTTCAAAATTATTATACTTTAAATATTCAACGAAATTCATTTTTTGTGGAGGAAAATCAGTTTTTTATCGACCTTTTTGGGGTATTTGTTTCTGTTTAAAATCTGTTTTTTCCGTTAACCAGCTGTCGCACCCCTACGAACGACAACCCTCAGAAGTCGAAACTTGTGCGAGCTAAGGATTAACGAGGTCTTACCTTTTAATGTGTGATTCCAAACAGCATCCTAATAAGCATCGTCGTTTTTTGGAGCTTTCCAATAATTGCCTACTTTTTGTTTGAACTTGTTTTCAGTTGTGAATCTATTATGGTTGTCAAATATGCACAAACTTTTAAAATTAACTATTAAGATGACTATATGATGCTAGTGTTCAAGGCATTCATATTCACTATATATACATAGCAGAATAGTATCGATCAAATCAATTTAAAGATAATGGATTTAAAACCATGAGCCATCTCATCTACGATCAAACACCTACCATTTCTCATATTATTTTCAATTCGACTACTCCACTTCTATTCATTACTAACTGTGATTTCAGAAGCAACAGGAGATGAATAAAAACAAGGAAATAATTGTCTTGGATCCAAAACGATCGAACGCCATAAATATAGGTATGACAAAATTGCCTCCTTCAAGGTCAATAAAAACAGCAATATTAAAAATGGACGCCACCATCATGAACAGAGAAGGTATCGATAAGCTTCTTACCATGTTGCCCACAGAAGAGGAAAGAACCAAAATTCAAGATGCACAAGCAGCTAATCCAGACTTACCACTAGGCAGTGCTGAACAATTTCTTCTCACATTAGCTTCAATATCAGAACTTCCAGCCAGGTTGAAACTCTGGGCTTTCAAATTAGATTTTGAAAATTCTGAGAGGGAAATTGCTGAGCCCCTGATGGATCTCAAACAAGGGATGGAGGTACTTCGTGGAAATTACACATTTCGAGGAATTTTGAGCACTCTTCTCTCTGTTGGGAATTTTCTCAATGGTAATGAGGTCAAAGGGTTCCAAATTGATTATCTTGCCAAAGTACCTGAAGTTAAAGATACTGTTCACAAGCACTCTCTGCTACATCATCTTTGCCATATTGTGATGGAAAAGTTTCCTAACGCTACTGATCTTTATTCAGAAGTAAGTATAAACACTTTTGCATTAGATGTTGATAAACATAATCTTAAAAATAATAAGTTACCCTAAAAGTGCAAACTATAAATATTACTGCATATTGGGCTCACCAAATTATGGAAATTGTTGGAAAACTGTATCCTTTAACAAAAACATTATCATACATAGTTGCTCAAAGTTGTGAAGTTGGCAATACCATTCGTTCAAAACTTTTTATTGCTAACTTGTTCAAAACTTCTCATTGCTAACTTCTTGACCCCTTCCAGAAGTATTCAGGAAACCTGTGCAAGTGGGTCATCAACGAGATAGTGACTATGATTAATGCAGATGTTTGTAAATTCTTTCATGAAATTCGTTCGGGATCATCATCCATTACTTTGAAAGTGTATATATGCTATTTTCTGTGCAAGCTGTGTACAAACTTGGAGAATTTTCATAACATTCGATAATTCTCAAAACATTCAGAGGTGAACTGAAAAATTGTGATTTGTAGATGAGCAGATCGGGTTCAGTCTTGACTGAAACTAAGTCAATGATCATTTAGATTCCACTATTAAGTTATAGTAGGGGAGCTCAAAAAGGAATCTGGGATTTACTCGAGCGCGAAAGATAAACATAGGAGGGGATACCGTGCATCCTGTTGAAACCGTCCGCCTTATATGAACCTTCAATTAAGAGCCGGGCAAGATTTATAAGAAAAACGCACATCAGAAATATTTGAATGCGTCAGATTAAGGTATTGTTGCCTAATTTCGAGGTAAAAAGAGTAAATTTATCAAAATCTGACGATTTGAGCGTGACATAGGGAAATCACAAAGTTTCAAAAGAAACGTTGTCTTGGCATTCACGAGCGTGTTTGATTTCTTCAGTTTCAAAGAAAATGAAGTAATAATCATGAAAATAATATAATTTACCGATTTCCACCTGCTGAAGTGATCAAGATCATCCATTACGATTAGTGCGCGCGATGAGGAAATGCATGCTTAACCTGTGGAGGAGCCTGGTGGAGACGAGCCATCACGAACGGTGCGTAGGATGCCGGAAGAACTGGGCGCCAGCTCCCATGGTTTATAACATATCGAAATGGTCAAAAAGTTCGAAAAGTGCGAGCCCCACGATTTGAACAATCGACAGAAATTGTCACGTTTCGAGGTTTGTTCTTCTTTGCTTTTGCGCAACCAAAATGATCTTTTTTGGATCGGATCATCACGTGTAATGAAAAGGAGATACTCTTCGATAACAGGGGACGTTCAGCTGGTATGAATCACTGTAGCTTTCTGTAACCGGGCCATTGAATCTCGAACACCCAATTTGTATGCTGACGGAATTAATCGACTTGTGGAATTAATCGACAGTACACTGATTGAAATAGAGCTTACTTCGATTGAATTGAATAAGTATTCACTGAAATATTATAGTTCAAAACAAACTCATAAAAACGGACAAAACTTCTAGAAGAACCTCATACCAGGAAATGGATAAAATAAGTTATGGCAGGTCGGTTGTTGTTGGTTGTCACCGGGGAAAGCGATATCATTTCCACCCGATGACAATCGTACTCCATAATATGCTAACGAGAAACGAAAGATTATATATTCATTTGTTTCAGAATATTGTTTTCAATGTCTGATGATTCCTGAACAGTTTCTCTCAACTAATATGAAGATGAATAAGCTGGTTCCTTATTTCTTTCGTTTTAGTGTATGTTGTTTTAGTTGTCAGGTAAGGTTGTGTTAGGTCCAAAGTAAGTGGGTCTTTTCTACCCACCACCGCAACTCCCAAGGGTTTATTGTGGCTCATACATATTCACACTCGACCAAATAAACACAGCTTCTTAACTAAGCCGATTAGTTTGTATGGTGAGTGTGGTGAGTATTTTAGGTCCGAGTATTTTAGGTACGGCAGAGCCGTACTCTTACCAGTTATTGGATCAGGAGTTGGAGAGTAGAGAAGCTCTCGCTCCTGATCTCAATTTACAGGGAGGTCAGTTGGAATCATAAGCTCAACATCCATCTCCTCTGTAGACTCGCTCCTGATCTAAATTTACAGGAAGGTCAGTTGGTGTCATAAGCTCGACATCCATTTCCTTTGTAGACTCAGCGTCAGAAATAATTTTCAAGTTCACTCTATCCATAAAAGTTCCACGAGTAGCTAGGAGAAAAAGGTCAATCATGGCAGAGCCACGCATCACTGTGACAAGGCGATGCTACGACGAAAGGGCGCCCGGTATCTCGAAAGTTCCGTAGAGACAGCTGATAGACTCAGTGTCATTCATCCTCTCGTCACAGATACACACACCTTAGGATTAAGCCATCGTTGGGATGCCATTCGGTTAGGGAATAACAGAACCCCAAGTGATTTTGTCATTCCCGTATCCAGCGGGGCTACGTGGAAGCAGGCATCCAATGGCCGGTTTGCTCAACCCCCACATCCCAAGCCAATGCACTCGCCAAAAACAGCACTCACAGTGGTTCAGGCAGTGGAAGATGAACAAAGACAGCCAACCTGCCAGACAGTAGTTGCAATTATATATTTTGTACCTGAGTTGTGTTAGATTTTCCGTGGTACTAGACTTCTAATAGTCAATTTGAATTGAAGACTTTCATTTCTTCAATATGATTATCAATAAATGAAATACTTGATTGTTTTAGTAACGTTTGCAAAACGTCTTGTGGACGATCAGTCGAAAAATCGTAACATTTATGTTACCCAATGACAATTGTGTACAAAATTCCAACCGATTTCACATTTCCATATGAATTATATTATTATGCACAAAAATGTTGAAGAGTATGTTTGCAGCCAAGTGCAAATTTCGACAACACCTAGTTACCTACATTAAAAACATCACATATCCACGGAGTTACAATAGGAGCCAACCGCATATTTGTAGTTTCAGTTAGAAGACCTACATTTGCTAGGAATCATTTGACATGTCCACGTAGATAACTATACTTCGTGAGTGTTATGCCCGCGAAAGAATCGCGAGGTTAACACTCAAAAAGGAAGACAAATCGCAAATACCTGTTTCTGGCTGTTTGCCTCATCAAACGCACTCTTCAACATCTTCAAGTATTAATATTCTGGAACCGAAAGTTGCGTAGGTAGCAGCTAGCGGCTGCCTACGTGGACACGTTGTAGACTCCTAGTAATCTTAGGTCTTCTAACTGAAACCACAAATGTGTGGTTGGCTCTTGTTAATAATTCCGAGCATATGTTGTCTATTGTAGGTGTTGCCTGTTTCTGCACTTGACCAACAGCCTGAAACACGTATCTGCGGTTTGCCTTCCTATTTGAGTATTATGTCCGCGAGCTCTCCTCTTGAATCTTTCAGTATTTATATTCTAGAGCCGGTAGACACATAAGTAGTTGCCTACGTAGACATGTTAGATGATTCCTAGTAATTGTAGGTCTTCTAACTGAAACCACAAATGTGCTTTCAGCTCCAGATAAACCATCACATGTGAGATCCGTGCATATGTGAAGTTTTGTAGTGTTACCAGCTTCTACCCAACTTAGCTGCACTGTGATGATTTCAAACAAGAAATCAGAAAAAGTTATTTTTTATATGTCATTACACCATTCAAATGTGAAAGTACATACTTGTTGAAGATGAATCTTAATGCACCAGTAGATACAGTAGATGCCTTCACCCAGAGTGGTATACATATAAACCTGGTGTAAAACGACTTGTCTGATGATTCCTGAACAGTTTCTCTCAACTAATATGAAGATGAATAAGCTGGTTCCTTATTTCTTTCGTTTTAGTGTATGTTGTTTTAGTTGTTAGGTAAGGTTGTGTTAGGTTCAAAATGAGTGGGTCTTTTCTACCCACCACCGCAACTCGCAAGGGTTTATTGTGGCTCATACATATTCACACTCGACCAAATAAACACAGCTTCTTAACTAAGCTGATTAGTTTGTATGGTGAGTGTGGTGAGTATTTCAGGTCCGATGGTAAGAGTACGGCTCTGCCGAACTCTAAAAACCTGATTCGGTCCCCAGCGGGGCAGGCACAAAGTATATGGTCTGCTGCTCCATCGTTAATGAGGTAGTTGAATAGTCAAGGTGCAAGATTCCCACCTTGATACACGCGACAACCTTCCCATATGAGGGTTTTTACACGTCAGCTACACCTAACGATGCCTTTTATTTAACCGTGCAGAGCTTTTTCGCCTCTGGTTTTGGTGAATCATCACTTGAGTGCAAACATTTGCTAACCTGCTCATGGGGGGTTTGTTCTGCAAACATTTGCTAACCAGCTCATGGGGGGTTTGTTCCTCCACCTGAGACAGATTCTGCGTTCGCCGCTCAAGAATTTGGTGCAAGACGGTTTCATAAGGTACCCCGCTCTTGAGGAGACGACTCAGTCGTTTTCTGGCTGCACCACCAAACCTTTTTTTAAGGTTCAGTTATTGGATCAGGAGTTGGAGAGTAGAGAAGCTTTCGCTCCTGATCTCAATTTACAGGGAGGTCAGTTGGAGTCATAAGCTCGACATCCATTTCCTTTGTAGACTCAGCGTCAGAAATAATTTTTAAGTTCTCTCTGTCCATAAAAGTTCCACGAGTAGCTAGGAGAAAAAGGCCAATCATGGCAGAGCCACGCATCACTGTGACAAGGCGATGCTACGACGAGAGGACGCCCGGTATCTCGAAAGTTCCGTAGAGACAGCTGATAGACTCAGTGTCATTCATCCGCTCGTCACGGATACACACACCTTAGGATTAAGCCATCGTTGGGATGCCATTCGGTTAGGGAATAACAGTACCCCAAGTGATTTTGTCATTCCCGTATCCAGCGGGGCTACGTGGAAGCAGGCATCCAATGGCCGGTTTGCTCAACCCCCACATCCCAAGCTAATGCACTCGCCAAAAACAGCACTCACAGTGGTTCAGGCAGTGGAAGATGAACAAGGATAGCCAACCTGCCAGACACAGTAGTTGCAATTATATATTTTGTACCTGAGTTGTATAAGATTTTCCGTGGTACTAGACTTCTAATAGTCAATTTGAATTGAAGACTTTCATTTCTTCAATATGATTATCAATAAATGAAATACTCGATTGTTTTAGTAACGTTTGCAAAACGTCTTGTGGACGATCCAGTCGAAAAATCGTAACATTTCCGTTACCCAATGACAATTGTGTACAAAATTCCAACCGATTTCAGATTTCCATATGAATTATATTATTATGCACAAAAATGTTGAAGAGTATGTTTGGTTTAAATGAAAAAGGAAAGTATCGCGAACATGGCCTCATCAGCGCGGTGCAGCCAAGTGCAAATTTCGACAACACCTAGTTACCTACATTAAAAAACATATTTGTAGTTTCAGTTAGAAGACCTACATTTGCTAGGAATCATTTGACATGTCCACGTAGACAACTATACTTCGTGAGTGTTATGCCCACGAAAGGATCGCGAGGTTAACACTCAAAAAGGAAGAAAAATCGCAAATACCTGTTTCTGGCTGTTTGCCTCATCAAACGCACTCTTCAACATCTTCAAGTATTAATATTCTGGAACCGAAAGTTGCGTAGGTAGCTAGCGGCTGCCTACGTGGACACGTTGTAGACTCCTAGTAATATTAGGTCTTCTAATTGAAACCACAAATGTGTGGTTGGCTCTTGTTAATAATTCCGAGCATATGTTGTCAATTGTAGGTGTTGCCTGTTTCTGCACTTGACCAACAGCCTGAAACACGTATCCGCGGTTTGCCTTCCTTTTTGAGTAATATGTCCGCGATCTCTCCTCTTGAATCTTTCAGTATTTATATTCTAGAGCCGGTAGATACATAAGTAGTTGCCTACGTAGACATGTTAGATGATCCCTAGTAATTGTAGGTCTTCTAACTGAAACCACAAATGTGCTTTCGGCTCCAGATAAACCATCACATGTGAGATCCGTGCATATGTGAAGTTTTGTAATGTAACCAGCTTCTACCCAACTTAGCTGCACTGTGATGATTTCAAACAAAAAATCAGAAAAAGTTATTTTTTATATGTGATTACACCATTCAAATGTGAAAGTACATACTTGTTGAAGATGAATTTTAATGCACCAGTAGATACAGTAGATGCCTTCACCCAGAGTGGTATACATATAAACCTGGTGTAAAACGACTTCAATCAAACTTAATGAAAAAGGTTCCAACTATTCTTTTTTAATTATTCTTTTTTACTTGTTTCAGGGATTTCAAATCATTTTATATAGTAGACAATGGAAGTCCGAACTAGTGAAATACGATAACTTATACATGTCCGATGTTTTATATAGGTCAAGAACCCGCATAAAGGAACACAAATATAGTTTTCAGACTCAGTTATGCTTGAAGAAGCTATTGTATAGCGAAACACGTGTCGCGTTTTTTTGGAAAACCCTTATAGTGAAAATCATACAATGAACTGTATTGATTAGTTTTTTAATATAGATTTTCATCAAGTAACGGCCAGTTCTATTCAATTATTTATATTGTATGTGTAAATGTACATTTTCAATATATGCTCGAGAGAGGTAATGTCACCGGTTTTGAGCAGATAATTTTTCGAAACTGAAATATGATTCATGTGTGATATGTCATATATCTCATTTGGAAGGCTGCCAAATGAGCAGTAAACACTCTCTGTTAGAAGGTAAATGCTCATTGGTCCAAAAAACAAGTGCCTTGAGAAAACGCAATGAGCCGCCAAAAATATGAGCCTTCTGCATTTGATCGGTCAAGAGTTCTGCCGTAGTGTGACAGCAGGTATCATCTTGAGGTTCAATAGTTAGGTAGGCATCATACCAATGACTTCAGTAGTCAGTAAAACAATTTTGATAAAGTAAACTGGATAGAGTATGCGAAGTGTTTTATCCTTTTTTGGGTGATAAAGATGTACTAATAGCAACAAAGGACACTCAGCAACAGCTGCAAACTAAAAATAAATGATGGGAAAGAACTTCACAATCAGAGAATTAGGTATAAACTGCTTTCCAATCCCAATGGGTCTAGATCCTTCTGGTCGGTAGCTAAAGCTATTAATCAAAACTTAACAAAATCCACAATTCCACCACTAACACAAGCGGATGGTTCAATTACAACAACACCCATAGAAAAAGCAAATCTATCAGCTGAACAATTTGCGTCCCACTCCACAGTTTTCATTTTAGATTTCACAAGTTTTTACTGTGGTTAGGAATTCCTCTACACCAGATATTCGAAACAAAACCCAATGAATTCTGTAGGATAGTATCAGAGTTCGCTCTAGAATATAGAACAACCAGGGAAAGGGTATTGCAACAGCTGGAAAAGAAAGCAAATCATAGGGAGAGGAATAAGACCAGAGGAAAGATGATAACTGATGTGAGTTTTTCAAAAAAATAGTACAACTATTAATCGTTCTTTGTAATATAGTTGCAGAAGTAATGGTTCATATCATAAATTGAGATTATTCAATTACTGCAATATTCAATTTCCAATATTAAATGAAATGTAATATGGGACATGACAGCTTACCAACAAAAACAGTACCTAACTTTTTTCAATAAACACATTTCATGATATTATTGTTATTACCATATTTCTTTCAATGAAAGCTGAGAAATCTGCGAAACAATTTTTGAAATCCATCAACAAATGGCTGAGAAATGGATTATTGACTCGTGCATCGATAAGAGTATTGCATTTCTGGTGATTGGAAAAAGTGTTCTTTTTAGATTTACCTTGAACTCTTTTATTTCTCTTTCAATTTGCTTGATTATCTGGTACTGATACTGTGAAAGTAATGGCCTCTGAGAGCGTGCCCTCTGTTTGGGGACCCTCTGTTTTGAGTAACTCAATTTTGTCTCACTCAATATCAAAAGATTGATACGGGAATTATTGAGTTGAGATCGACGGTACTTTTGTTGAAATGTTCTCATAAAATTCAAGGTGACGTCTTTGTTCATATACTCCTTCTTCTTTTTTTGGTTTCACCGCTTATTTGACAGTCAAAAATATTGGCCTTCAACTTTATTGTTTCCCTAACTAGTCTATATTCAACTAGGTAGATCGAGATATATAAGTTTTTCTCAATAAGTTGTTATAAACCTTCCTACATCTCAATATATCATTCAAATATAGGCAGATACTATTGATACCTACTCTAATCACACACATTTTTAGTGCTTTTTGGACCAAGTAGATCAGTTTCCATTCAATTGCACCATTTCTTCGTTTTATTTATGTATCTTGGTACACGAAAAAATCTTTAATAAAGTAGTAGTAAACGATATACGACACAAACGGAGCAATTAGGGAACAACTTATTGCACTCCAATGAATTTATAGATAGGTATAGGTACTATAAATCCAAAATAGTAGGCACTAAGGTCTCAGAATATGTAGAATGGGGAATGTTGCTCCTGGCGAAAATCAAGTAGTTTTCATAAAAGACGCATTTTAAACTTATCATTCCAACCTTTTTCTTTAAAAAATTATTTAAATACTTAAAAAAGAGGAATGAAATAATGCATTCAATATTTGAAGGGATTCGTTTTTTAAACTCAACTTTATTTTGTTCAAACTTGCATTTGCTGCAATAACCCAAATTGAGGAACATTCACCATTCTCAATATGTAGAATCACAACTTTGACAACAATGTTTTTGTTTTAATGCAAACATGTTTCTGAGAATTGCTCGTTAGTAAAACAACTCGTTCAGCCGCGTAGTCCGGGTCCAATGACGTCATACGCTGGTGCGCCGCGCCGTAGAAAACGAATTTGTTTTCGAAAAATGATTAAAAAATCTGTTTAAAATGATAAAGAAAACTTTAAATTTTTTTTATTATTTTTATTTGTAAATGATGTTACTGCGGTTTTGTCCTATAAGGACATTTTCAAATAACTACATTAAGCTGGAAATGAATCTCAAAATCATGTTAGCCCTTATATATCCACTGTAGGTAATAATAGAGATCCTTAACTTAATTGAGTACCTGAAATTTGTTTACCTGTGACAATGTGGATACGCTAATTTTAAAACTGGCGAGTAAGCTAGATCGATTTGACCATTTAGCAGATTATACCCGCAATGTTTATGCTTATGAATTTCCAAGGTTTCCAAATAATTGAGTTTGTAATCCTTCCTTGCATATTGCAACATTTCCGTATCGTTTAGATTCGGAAAATCGTGGTTGCATTCCAAGGAATAGTTTGAAAACGTCGAATCATTGTTACCTAGTCTGAAGCTACCTCGGGTGTTCCACAAGGAAGCAACCTAGGTCCACTTCTCTTTAACGCCTTCATAAACGACATAGTTGAGGTCATTGACATCGACTGTTTGATATAAGAGGATGACCAGAAATTATATTATAAGATCAGTGGCATCGAGGACTGTCTTCAACTCTCCCTCAATCTGAAACGCGTTGAGCAATGGTGTTTTTGCAATAAATGTAATGTAATGACGTACATTCTGAAAAGTCGTCCATTTTCATAACAATATTTATTAAACGATATTCCACTTCAACGGCCTCTCACATTCACCGATCTAGGTGTTACCTTCGTACCACATATTATTATTGAAACCAGTCTGTCTGCTGCAAACAAAATGTATGGATTTATTGCACGAATATCCAGAGATTTCGCTGATCCATCTACATCGAAAACCTTATACTATGTTTCGTCAGATCAAAACTAGAATATACATCCATAATGTGGAATCCATCTCATCAGTTGTATACAGAGAAAGTTGAATCAGTACAACGTCGTTTCCTAAAAGTTCTCTCCCATAGATCAGACAATATATATCCACCAATTGGATTTTCCCACATATTCTGCAAAAATTGAACTTCAATGTACCTAGACCAACCTCTAGAGTGGTTAATCTTTTTTTCTGCCAACACTACGTTCAACTATTCTTAAACGTTCACGTCTTCATAACATGTGTGTCAAATGAAATTCTGCAAGTTGACAGCTCGACATTTTTTACTGTTTCATCTCTGAGATTAGGTTTTTTCACTTCAGCTTATTCTATATGTATTGTTTTTATCTTATAACTTTTTGTAATTGTATTGTATTGTGATTTGACTTATATCTCTGTTCTTCAGTTCGTTTAGGTCGGAAAGTTCAAAAGTAAAGAAGATAGAGCAGATGCAGAGTTACGGACACTATTGGGTAGCGATTTATCCGATGTGGAGAGTTTACAGGGAACTTTACCTTGGAGGAGAACTCGTAGGGATGGGAACAATTCATTCAAGCGCACCACTAATGGTAACTTTACGGATGATGACGATGAAATTCTTGAAAGTTTAGTCAAGTCTGCTACAAAAGTTTCATCAACTAGGAACACGCCAAGAGAACGGAAAAGAACCCGACATATTGAAAGGAAGTCTCGTAAGTATTACACACATATTCTGAATTCTCACAAATGAATTTTGCTTAGATTCTGATACATTCATCTTCGTTTAACACAAAAAACGATTAAATTTCATTTCAGAAAATAGTTAGATAGCTTCAAGGTAATGAATAACATTATATGTCACATACAATATATTGGATACTTTTAAAGGCAAACTCCTGTTTTCAAACTAGATAGATTTAAACTGATGGCTGTGTCTGAGAGTCAAATTTAATAACAAACTTAAAGGTGAAAACCGCATACCTATATTTAAGTATGATCGTTTCTGTGTTACAGCATGATATCTGTAGAGTAAGGAGGGTGAGTGTAGATTCACAGCACTTAGACCACATGTGACCCATTGTACATCCTCCCAAGGAGTTGTCCTCCTAGGTCATCGTCCATCCTGTCCTTTCCAGGAAGGTGAACAGGTCTTTAGGAGACATCTCCTTTATATTGGCAGGTGTAGGCCAAAACCCGCCGAACACACACTCTCTTTGGCAACCTTGAGGTGTCTCACAGTGGCCTCTGCGAAAGTTTTGGAAGGTGCAGCGATATTACTGTCGTTGCGCGGCTTCTTCAACCTTTCCTCCGTGAAGGTGTACAAGTGAGGGAGCTTTCCAGCAGGGTCAGTCGGTTCCTTGCCTTTATTCGAAGCGGAGCTCTTGGGGTCCGCCGCAGGAAGTGCCCTCGCTGTTGGAGGTGATCTGCTATGTCCAGCCTCATTCCAAGCGGTAGATTGGGGTGGAAATTTCTCTTCATCCCCAGCCACCGGCTTAGATTGAGGTGAGCACTTCTGTCCAGCCTCGGGATTGGTTTTTGTTTTTGTTGTTTCTGTTGTTTCATTTATGTGTGTTCCCACGATAAGCAAGGGAAGAGTTGGTCACCTCTGGCAGAGCCCCGCATTACCAGAGGTAGGCTGATTACAATGAGGTTTCGCCCAGTTTATCCAAGGGGATCGTTCGTGACTGCATATTCCTGCATATTTCAATAAAGCTTAAAATTACCTTTCCAAAAATGTAGTTTAATTGATGTTTTGCTAGAGCCATCTTTGAAATATAGAGCTTTTAGGTTTTTTCATGTAGACTTTGTTAAGCACACTTTGACCAAGTAGCCTTTGGACAATTCTGCGATAATCCTGTGACAATGTGGATACGCTAATTTGAAAACTGACGAGTAAGCTAGATCGATTTGACCATTTAGCGGATTATATCCGCAATGTTTATGCTTATGGATTTCCAAGGTTTTCAAATAATTGAGTTTGTAATCCTTCCTTGCATAGTGCAACATTTCCGTATCGTTTAGATTCGGAAAATCGTGGTTGCATTCCAAGGAATAGTTTGAAAACGTCGAATCATTTTTACCTAGCCTGAAGGAATTTTCATGTTCAGCATACCGTTTTAGGAAATGTCGACCACATTGTCCCACATAAACACTCTGCAGCTACCTCGGGTGTTCCACAAGGAAGCAACCTAGGTCTCTTTAACGCCTTCATAAACGACATAGTTTGATATACGCGGATGACCTGAAATTATATTGGCATCAATGGCATCTAGGACTGTCTTCAACTCTCCGTCAATCTGAAACGTGTTGAGCAATAATGTTTTCGCAATATATGTAATGTAATGTAACAACATACATACTAAAAAGCGTCCATTTTCATAACAATATTTAATAAACGATATTTCACTTCAACGGCCTCTCACATTCACCGATCTAGGTGTTACCTTCGACACAAAACTTTCCTTCGTACCACATATTGAAGCCATTCTGTCTGCTGCAAACAGAATGTATGGATTTATTGCACGAATCTCCAGAGATTTCGCGGATCTATATACATCGAAAACCTATACTATGCTTTCGTCAGATCAAAACGAGAATATGCATCCATAATCTGGAATCCATCTCATCAGTTGTATACAGAGAAAGTTGAATCAGTATAACGTCGTTTCCTGAAAGTTCCCTCTTATAGATCAGACAATATCTATCGACCAATTGGATTTCCCCATGATACATTGTTAGCTAGACATGCTATGAATAGCTTGAGTTGTCGTCGTGATTGTCACTCCACAATTTTTCTTTTTAAACTGATTGATAATTATTGACCGACATATTCTGCAAAAACTGAATTTCAATGTACCTAGACCAACGTCTAGAGTGGTTGATCTTTTTTTCTGCCAACACCACCTTCAAATATTCCTAAACGTTCACGTCTTCATAAAACATGTGTGTCAAATGCAATTCTGCAAGTTGTCAGCTCGACATTTTTACTGTTCCATCTCTGATTTTACTTCAGCTAATTCTATATGTAATGTTTTTATCTTACAACTTATTGTAATTGTATTGTATTGAGATTTGACTCTGTTCTGTAGTTGGGTGTATCCTGTAGAACAGTGTATAAATAAATAGAAATAAATTACACTCCGAACACTTGAGCTTAGAATTCTCCCTCTTGTCCACTTCATCTAGCCTGGCATGTGATCTGAATGCAATTTCTGTAAAAATCCTCAATTGTTACTGTAAAATATGTTAGAGTCACAAGTTTATTGATTCCTGTTTGTTTGATCTGGGGGTATATTAATTTGTAAGTAAATTTGAGGCATTGTTTTCTGACTAACTTCTGGATTGTGTCTGCGCTGAAAGTGGACAAGATGGAGAAATCTGCATTTTATAAGCTCAAGTGTCCGGAGTGTAATAGTGTTTATGTGGGAAAAGGTGGTCTAAATTTCTCAAAACGGTATGGAGAACATGAAAGGTCCTTCAGACTAAGTAAAAATGATTTGACGTTTTCAAACCATTACGATACGGAAATTTTGCACTATGCAAGCAGAGGTTAGAATCCTTGGAAATTCATAAGCATGAGCATTTCGGATGTGATCTGCTAAATGATCAAATCGATCTAGTTTACTCCCAGTCTTCAAATTAACGTATCCACATTGTCACATGTAAACAAATTTCAATTAACTTAAGGACTTATCACCTACATACAGTAGATATATAGGTAAGGGCTAACATTCTGATTTATTTTCAGTTTGATATAATTGTTCGAAAATATCCTTATATAGAACGAAACTGCAGTAATATTACTTATAAATAAAAGTGGGAAAAAAACATAAAAAGTTTTGTTTTCTCATTTTTAATGATGATATCTTACCACGTGGAAACGGGTACATCAATCAAAGTGTAGCTTTGGACTCCGATAAGTTTTTCAACTAATATTTTTATCATTCTTCCACACTTTTGTTTCATTTTCCTTGAATTTTTAGAAATAATTTATGAGAAAATTGAAAACTTCTTCATTATCGCATTTTTAGAACTCATACTTTCTAGGTCGGAAAGTTCAAAAGTAAAGAAGATAGAGCAGATGCAGAGTTACGGACACTATTGGGTAGCGATTTATCCGATGTGGAGAGTTTACAGGGAACTTTACCTTGGAGAAGAACACGTAGGGATGGAAACAATTCATTTAAGCGCACCACTAATGGTAACTTTACGGATGATGACGATGAAATTCTTGAAAGTTTAGTCAAGTCTGCTACAAAAGTTTCATCAACTAGAAACACGCCAAGGGAACGGAAAAGAACCCGACATATTGAAAGGAAGTCTCGTAAGTATTACACACATATTCTGAATTCTGACAAATGAATTTTGTTTAGATTATGACAGATTCATCTTCGTTTAATACAAAAAACGATTAAATTTCAATTCAGAAAATAGTTAGATAGCTTCAAAGTAATGAATAACATTGTATGTCATATACAATATATTTTAGATTTTGAAATTCCACATCCCATGTACAGAGTGGGCCAAATTGGATACTTTTAAAGGGAAACTCCTGTTTTCAAACTAGATATATGAAAACTGATGGATGTGTCTGAGAGTCAAATTTAAAGACAAACTTAATGGTGAAAACCGCATATCGATATTTAGGTATGATCGTTTCTGTGTTACAGCATGTTTTTCGAAAATGTGCATTTGCTGTAACTATTTTCTTTTCAAAAATTTCTTGTTTTAATGGAAATATCAATAATTATTGATGGAAAACTACTTTCAAATGAGGCACGCTGTATCTCCTGGTATCTGTAGAGTAGGGAAGGTGTAAAAGGGAAGATGTAGACTCACAGCACTTAGGCCATATGTTGTACATCCTCCCAAGGAGTTGTCCTCCTAGGTCATCGTCCATCCTGTCCTTTCCAGGAAGGTGGACAGGTCGCTGGGAGACATCTCCTTCATATCGGCAGGTGTAGGCCAAGACTTGCCGAACACACACTCTCTTTGGCAACTTTGAGGTGCCTTACGGTGGCCTACGCGAAGTATTTGGAAGGTGCAGCGATATTAGTGTCGTTGCGCGGCTTCTTCGACCTTTTTGGGTTTCCTTCGTGGAGGTGCACAATTGAGGGAGCTTTCCTGCAAGGGCAGCTGCCGCAGGGAGTGCCCTTGTTGTTGGAGGTGATCTGCTATGTCCAGCCTCATTCCAAGCGGTAGATTGGGGTGGACATTTCTGTTCATCCCCAGCCATTGCCTTAGATTGAGGTGAGCACTTTTGTCCAGCCTCGAAATTGGTTTTTGTTTTTGTTGTTTCTGTTGTTTCATTCATGTGTGTTCCCACGAGTAGCAAGGGAAGAGTTGGTCACCGCATTACCAGAGGTAGGCTGATTACAATGAGGTTTTGCCCAGTTCCCCAAGGGGATCGTTCGTGACTGCATATCACCCTGCGGCTATTCATCTGTCGGCACGATTCCTCACACCTTAACTTCCACATTGGCTTCCCGGCAGGGCTTCCAGTTCCCTGGCAGTTCCCCTAACCGCCACCAGGGGACGCGCCCGATGGGTAGCCCAACCCACGCTGTATTTTCCTGCATATTTCAATAGAGACTAATGAAATTACCTTTCCAAAAATGTAGAACACTTGATGTTTTGCTAGAGTCATCTTTGAAACACAGGGCTTTCAGGTTTTTTCATGTAGACTTTGTTAAGCACACTTTGACCAAGTAGC